CATGTGCCTGGGTTATGGGCCAGGTCCCCAGTGGAAGGCATGTGATGTGCAACCACACATTGATGTTTCCCTCCTTCTCCCTCCCTTCCTCTCTCTCAAGAATAAATAAATAAATAGATAGATGATAGATAGATAGATAGATAGATAAATAAAATCTTTAAAAAGATAATGAACTCAAATACAATGCCTTCGATCTAATTAACATGTTGCAATGAAGGGAAAGATGAACCTACTGAAACAAATAATAGACTAGTCATCTATCAAAAGACAAAATTGAGCTGATTATGCATCGCATTTTCTTAGTGAATCCATCTTGACTCTTGGTGATCCTGTCTCTCTTTTTCTAAATGTTTACAATTCATTTTTAAGTGTAATATACTGTAAAAATTGTAATATATTATACCAGGTCTTCATGCCAAATTTAGCTTCTTTTACAATGAGAGTAATCAGGGCCAATCCATTTTACTGTATAATTACTTTGATTTGTTTTTAATCTCAATATTTAATCTTATTTTGATTTAAATACTGTTAAAGAAGAGTAAGAATATTATGTTTATTGAAAGGGGACATAAATGGAAAAAGACTGAGAGTAGGAAGGCAGATATTAGCAGAATAAAAGGAAGAAGTTTTTGGTAGTTAGAACTGCCTACCAGTGTTTTGCCTTGCAAAAACAGGGAGCTGCCCATCCCTAGAAATCTTTAGGACAGCTATCCAGCCATATTTACCTAGACAGCAGAAACAATCTCGGTTTAGGAGAAAGCCCGATTTATTTAGATCAGTGTCTCTCAAATTATGCTGAAGAAGCAAAAAAAAAAAAAAAAAAACCTGTCCCACTCTTTAGTAGACCAATTTATAAAATTAAAAAGTATCACACATTTAAGAATGAACCCTGGCTGGTGTAGTTCAGTGGATTGAGCGCAGGTCTGCAAACCAGAGGATCGTGGTTCAATTCCCAGTCAGGGCACATGCTTGGGTGGCAAGCCAGTTCCCAGCAGGGGATGCACTAGAGGCAACCACACATTGATGTTTCTCTCCCTCTCTCCTTCCCCTCTAAAGATAAATAAATAAATAAATATTTTTTAAAAAAGTATCATACATTTAGATGTCATGGCAATGTCAAACTGCTATAAATTTTTCTAAATCAGTGATTTTCAACCTTTTTTATCTTGTGGCAAACATAAACTAATTACTAAAATTCTGTGGCACACCCCAAAATATATTTTTGCTGACCTGACAAAAAATATAATTTTGATTTGCAAAATAGTAATAATAATAATAATAGTAATTACTGTTTCGCTCCACAGTGATTTTTGAAAAAATATCAGGTGCCTAGACAGTAAAAAAAAAAAAAAGGTTCCTGCATAACCTCTTTTACTGCATTAAACTTTTATAAACTGAAATAGCACAATTTCCCTTTTTTACCAAAACACATATGAATACTCATTTAAAACTTAAAAAAAAATTTATTTTGGGCCATTTCTCACACTTAATTTTCTAGTGTCACTTTCTTTGCACAAGCTGATAATATGTAACAAATCATAGCTGAACACACAGTTAAACTTCTTTCTTTTACCAGCAGGTAGCAAAACCAACAGAAAAGTAACTTTGGGGTGGGGTAACAGTGGTGGAACACATTCATTTCAGAAGCAACTGGGTAGAGGATTTAAGTTTTTGCAGTCACCTATAACAATGTTGATTTGGCCAAAACAAACATGGTGAAAATTATAAAAATAGGAGGCAGAACTAAGAGTTGGCCATTCTCATGGACCTACAGGATAGTATGCTAAGTGAAATAACAGAGACGAACACCATATATTTCACTTATATGTTAAACTGAAAGAACAAAGTAAACAAATAAAACAGGAACAAACTCAGATACAGAGAACAAAACAACGGTTGCCAGACAGTGGGAGGGAGGCTGGGGAGCTGAATGAAAAGAGTGTAGGGATTAAGAAGTACAAATTGGCAGTTATAAAAGACTCACAGGATATAAAGTACAGCATGGGAAATATAGTCAATAATATTGTAATAACTATTCATGGTGCCAGGTAGGTACCAGAATTATCAGAGGGACCACTTCTTAAGTTATATAAATGTCTAATCATTATGTTGTATATCTGAAACATTCAATATATAATATTGAATGTCAACTGCATTTGTAAAATTTAAAACCATATTTTTAAAGTTAGCCATTCTCATACTTCCTCAAATGCTCTTGGCTTTCTTTCCAAGCAAAATCAGACCTTTTTCGTTAAAAATTGGTTATCGTCTTCCCATTAAAAACAAAACAAAATAAAACAAACTTCCTTCTTAAGAGACAATTTACAGATTTCTAAGCTGTCCTCTCGCAATGCCATCATACATAAGTTCTTTCCCTGCAGTAGTGCCTTAATTCCCCATGATTTCACTAGAGCAGGAATTCTGAAGTTTGAGTATACAAATAGATTTTAGAAAGTTTGTGAACTCTCTAAAAATCCAAATATTTTAAAACTTTGAGTGGATAAGCAATTTATATGGACAAAATGTCCACAGTTTCCAATACATACTTAGAGGGAACAATAATCTATACAGGTTAAAAGCATTTTTATTAAATGAAAAATGTGATCTGAATAGAAATATAGGGTATAGGTTCTTTATTAATAGGCATATAAAGACATTATATGATACATATATAATCAAAAAGAGCTTTTGAAATAAATCCCTTCATTTTATAGATGACAAAATTGACATTTGGAGAGTGTCCAGGCCCTTGCTAACTAGAAGACAGGAGCCAGAGAAAATTGCTGGCCTCCTGCTTCCAGGTCCATGTTCTCACACTCTGCTACCCTCACAGGGACAGACAAAAGGATATCATATTAGTAAGCACACTACCGTCAGGCAACAATCCACCTCTGCTAAGTATACAATCTCAGAACAAATCAAGTTATTAATTATTTAAACACTACTGGCTCATAAGATATATAAACATTTTCTTTTTTTACTGAAGATACCTAAAAATACATATTCTCTTAGATACATTTTAGAACTCGCTTCCTTGCCAGCAGGCACAATCGATCACCTGTCAGTCATCAAAAACCATGAGTACTTGATCCCACTGCAATCAATAAGAGAAGGGCATACACCAGACCTGAAAGCGACAGCGGATGTTTAGGAGACAGAAGGCTTCAAGGAGGTACTTAAACACACTTCTTTCTGAGGCAATTACTCTGAAAGCCCACAATACAAAGTTAATTAGTTGGGTGTATCTTTCAGTTAACTATTAAAGCTATTTAGAAATTTTAAGAAAAAACTAATTTAAAAGGTGATTCCCTTGTTTATTCACACTAAAAAACAGCAAGTTCAAAAACCAAAGGAGATAACGAACGGTTAGTAAAAAGAATTGTTATAGTAATTAAGTGAGAAAGCTGAAAAAAAGTCTCATTTTGTTGTCAGTTAAGATGGGTATGAATTCAAATCTTGTTTTAAATGTTTTTCAAAATAATTATAAAACAAAAGTCTATAAATAAAAATCCAAGGGACACTTTCCTTCTCCCCCCACCAATCCCCACCACCTTAACTTCTGAAGTACAGCACAACTTTCTACCATCTGTTATTTCAGAGCAGAAACAGTAAGGAACATATGGGCTTTCTCTCTCAAGCAGCTGTAGTGTAGTTAAAGTTAAAATAATTGTCTTTCTGTAAGATAAATTTCATTAAAAATCTGGCCAGTTAAAAATAAATGGCTCAGCCTCAGAGCCTTCCAGAATAACATTTAAGACATTCGGAATCTTCGATGACATACTATATTCAGAGATTTGGAGGATATCCTCTAAATCTTGTGCTTCTGTATTTAAGGTTAAATAAATATAATTCATGGTGCACAAATCAGTTTCTTTTTTTTAATTTTTATTTTTGTTCAGTTACAAGTATCCCCATTGCCCACCACAACCCCACTCCCCAGCTCTCACACAGTCAATCCCCCACCCTCTTGTCTGTGCCCATGAGTCCTCTATTCATGTTCCTTTGCTTGCCCCTTCCTCTTCTTTCCCCCATTATTCCCTTCCCCTCTCCCTTATGGTCAGTATTCGCCTATTCTTTATTTCAGTGTCTCTGGTTATATTTTGCTTGCTTCTTTGTTTTGTTGATTAGGTTCCACTTATAGGTGAGATCACATGGCATTTGTCTTTTACTGCCTGGCTTATTTCACTCAGCATAATACTCTCTAGTTCCATCCATGTTGTTGCAAAGGGTAGGAGCTCCCTTTCTTTCTGCTGTGTAGCATTCCATTGTATAAATGCATGGAGGGTTAGCAACAGGGGAGTGGGAGGAGAAGGGGGGAGAAGGTACAGAAAATAAGTAGCATAGACAGTAGATAGAAAATAGATGGGGGGGAGGGCAAGAATAATAGTATGGGAAATATAGAATCCAAAGAACTTGAGACATATGGTCATAAACTAAAGGGGAGGAATGGTAGGGGTGGGGGGGGCAGGGTGGAGGGGAATGAAGGGGGGAATAGAACTGTAATGGCATAATCAATAAAATAAAAATTAAAAAATAAATAAATAAATAAAATAAATGTACCACAGTTTTCTAATCTGTTCATGTACTGATGGGCACTTAGGCTGTTTCCAGCACTTGGTTATTGTAAATTGTGTAAATTGTGGTGCTATTAACACTGGGGTACACAGGTTCTTTTGAATTGGTGATTCAGGATTCTTAGGGTACAGTCCCAGCAGTGGGACTATAGTTTCTCAGTCAAAAATCAACCTCAAATAAGAGTGAGGTAGTCCCATAAAAAATTCAGTAACTAAGTTCTTAAAAGCTGATAATATAAATCTATCACTGCTGTGGGTCACTGAATTTCAACCTAAAGCCTCATTTGTTATAAGAAAATATCACAATACATTGGCATATATACTTTCATTTCAATTATGAATCATTTCCAATGAGTTTAAGTAAACTGAAAGCAACTCAGAGCAGATTCTGAACCACGAATTATGAAAAATAAGACTTTCACTTACCTTTATCTGGGTGATTCAAAATCATAATTCTTCTGTGAGCAGTCCTAATCTTGGCCTTAGTAGCAGATGGGCTGTAAAAAGAAATTAGAGAGATTATAATAAATTATATCAAATGTGGATTATAAATTAATGGTTTATATGGGTTTCAAGAAATTAAAAACTAATGAGAATTTCACCATCTTGTGGATAAATATGAAATTACAGCCTATCACTTATTCTAGTAACCACCAAAATGAATTACTGATTCAATGTGCACATATTTTTCTTCAGTCCTTTGTAATATCAGTCTTTATTTTCAATCAATTTAAAAAATAAAACAATATAGAGGGAGTCACAATTTACAGATTATACTGTAGCACTGAAAACTTATGCTTCAAATTATTTGGGGGGAAAGGCAGTACATAGAGTTTAGCAGACAGGTTCTTGGACTCCAGAGCTACTCCACTGCTTAATTTTAATCCCATTGCCACATAGAATGGTAACCTTCTTCAATTTGTCAACCTCCTCATGCTTCAGTTTCCGCATTATACACCACAGTTAGGAAAGACATATTCCTAATAGAGTAACTGTAGGTATTAAGTTAGTTAATGTTGACAAAGTGCTAACAGCACCTGTTGTATAACCAGTGTTCCCTAATAGTTAGCTCTATTATTATTATTATTATTATTATTATTATTTTCAATAGAGCATCTCAATGTTTTGTAGCTTATAATTAATGTAACTTTGTAAGAATCCTATGAAAAAAGTCTGTATGCTAGAATCTATGCTTTAAACGAAAGTTTTAAAAAGTTAAATAAACCTAAAACTAGGTTGGTAAAACCAAATTTATCTAGTATTAGAAATGTTTCTCATTAGTACATTTTTAGGCAAAGAAAAAAATAACACAACGACAAAATCTTAGTATTGCTACTTAGGTCTTATTTAAGGTACTGAGCTTATCTGTGCCTCAAATGGAAATAATTATACCTGACAAAGTATGGGGTGGTTTGTGAAGCTCAAAATAATTTCATTTGTATGGATGATTCATGGTGTAGTAGATAAAAGCAGGTACTTTTAGAGATGTTCAGATATAGTTTCAAAATCTTGATTCCACCATTCATTAGCCACACGATTAGTTTTGCATATTTAAACTCCAAGTTATAATTTCCTCACAGGTAAATTGTAAATAATAAAACAACTTCCCAGGATTATGTTAAGGATACATTACATAATATAAGTAAAAACATCAGTACAACTAACATATAGTTAGTGTTCAGATAATTGTAGTTACTGTAGATATAAAGGATACTAATAAAAATATGTACTTCCTACATTTAAAATGGAGTATAAATAACCTAATTTAATATTCCTTAAATGACTCAAAGCATTTCCATGACTATTAATTAAGTACAAATAAATGGCTACAGTCTGCAGAGGTTTGCTTGCGCTTCTACTAAATGGTCAAATACTGCTACTCATTTACATTTTTCCATGTGTTTTTAACACTGCCTCCCTCACTATCAGCTGTCAATCCTCAATTCTGCCAGTGTTTCAGTCCACTGCCAGTTACTTGCTACTTCTAATCTCCTAGGGTTAAATGACCAAACATTCAAAATGCACTATCAATTGCTGGAAAAGCATGCAAAATATTTTTCTATGAATAAAACAAATGCCTTGAGTTAAAGAAGAAATCAAAAAAAAGAAGTAAAAAATACTCTGAGACCAATGAAAATAGAACTACAACATAGTAAAAGTTATGATACAGCCAAAGCAGTTCTAAGAGGAAAGTCTGTAGCAATAAACTACAACATCAAGAAAAAAGAAAGAGCTCATATAACCTAACTTTACACCTCAAGGAACTAGGGAAAAAAAAGAACAAACTAAGTAGAAGGAAGGAAATAACAAATATCAGAGTGAAAATAAATGACATCGAGGCTGAAGAAACAATAGAAAAGACCAGTGATATTAAGAACTATTTTACTGAAAAGATAAACAAAATAGACAAACCATTAGAGAGAATCACCAAGGAAAAAAGAGGACTCAAATGAATAAAATCAGAAATAAAAGAGGAGACATTAAAATAATGCCACAAAAATACAAAGCATCCCAAGAGACCACTATGAAAAATTATACAACAAATTGGAAAATCTAAAAAGATTGAAAAAATTCCTAGAAACTAACAACATACAGAGACTGAGTCCTGAAAAAACAGAAACTCAGCACAGACCAATTACTAGTAATACAATTAAATCAGTAATTAAGAATCTCCCAACATGGGATGCAAGGCTGGTTCAATATCCGCAAGTCAATTAACATGATATACCACGTAAACAAAATGATCATAAAAATAATATGAACATATTGGTAGATGCAGAAAAAGTATTTGACATAACCTAGCATGGATTTATGATGAAAACTCTTAGCAAAGTGAGAACAGAGAAAACATAATAAACACCATATATGACAAACTGGGACTTCCACCAAGATGGAGGTGTAGGTGGAAACATTTTGCTTTCTCACACAACCAAATTTTGTCTAAAAACAACAAACTTTTAACAAAAATAAATGCAACCAAACCACATAGAAAATCGACAATAGGGAGTCTGAAAATAATGAACCCCTCAGCTAAACTGGTGAGAGGGGCGAAGCCAGCAGCGGAGCAGGTAGGGCAAAAAAGATCCCCCCACGTGGGCGGTGCACAGGCAGCCAAGGGAAGGGCATGGATCTCAGGTGTGGGCTAGCTATAGGCGGACACAGGGAAGAGGAGCGTCTGGCTGTCTGCGGTCAGTCCTACATTTGTGTGCAGATAAACCAGTGAAGAGATGAGCATTGAGACCGCACGGCGCAGGGCAGTGGGCTTGCACATTTGCGCTCAGATAAACAGGTGGGGGCAAGCAGTGAGACGAACCCAATGAGCGAAAAGGACCACCATTGCTCCCTCTCTGACCCCACCCCCACATACAGCATCACAAACCAGCGACCTGGGTGGCCCTGCCCTGGTGAATACCTAATGTGCCTCTCCTCATACGTAACAGGCACAAACAGATAAAAACATGGCTCAAGAAGAACTCAGAACCCCAGAGCCAATAAATCTAAGCAATGAAGAAACAGCCAAACTTTCAGATGAAAGTTCAAAACACTGGTGATCAGGATGCTCACAGAACTGGTTGATTTTAGTCACAAATTAGAGGAACAAATGAAGGCGAAACTAATTGAAATGAATGGTAATGCACAGGAAACCAATAGAGATGGGAAGGAAACTGGGACTCAAATCAAGAGAGTAGACCAGAAGGAAGGAAAAATGACCAAACAGAAAACGATGAAGAAACAAGAATTCAAAAAAATGAGGAGAGGCTTAAGAACCTCCAGGACATCTTTAAACACTCCAACATCCAAATTATAGGGGTACCAGAAGGGGAAAAGGAACAGTCACGAGTGGAAACCTTATTTGAACACATAATAAAAGAGAACTTCCTCGTTCTGGCAGAGGAAATAGACTTTCAGGAAATCCAGGAAACTCAGTCCCAAAGAAGTTGGACCCAAGATCAAGGCATATCATCATTGCATTAGCCAAGATTAAAATGAAGGAGAGAATCCTAGAAGCAGCAAGAGATAAGGGGACAGTCACCTATAAAGAAGTTCCCATCAGACTGTCAGCTGATTTCTCAAAAGAGACCTTACAGAAAAGAAAAGGCTGGAAAGAAGTATTCCAAGTCATTAAAACCAAAGACCTACAACCAAGATTGATCTATCCAGCAAAGCTTTCATTTAGAATGGAAGGACAGATAAAGTGCTTCTCAGATAAGATCAAATTCAAGGAGTTCATCATCACCAAGCCCTTATTATATGAAATGTTAAAGGGACTTACCTAAGAAAAAGAAGATAAAAATATGAACAGTGAAAGGACAGCAAACTCACAGTTATTAACAACCACACCTAAAACAAAAGCAAACTAAAAGGACAGCTAGATCAGGAGCAGAACCATAGAAATGAAGATCACATGGAGGGTTAGCAACAGGGGAGTGGGAGAAGGAGAAGGGGGGAGAAGGTACAGAAAATAAGTAGCATAGACAGTAGATAGAAAATAGATAGGGGGGAGGGTAAGAATAGTATGGGAAATATAGAATCTAAAGAACTGGAGACATGTGTTCATGAACTAAAAGGGGGGAATGGTGGGGGAGGGGTGTGCAGGGTGGAGGGGAACAGAGGGGGGAAATAGAACAAATGTAATGGCATAATCAATAAAATTAAAAATATATATAAAAAAAGTAAACACCATATATGACAAACCCACAACAAACTCTTTTATTTAACATATTGGAAGAAGCCATAGCCACTGCAATCAGATAAGAAAAATAAATAAAAGGCATTCTAATTCAAAAGAAGTAAATCTGTCACTCTTTGCAGTTGACATAATATAAATACAATATATAGAGAACCCTAAAGATTCCATTAAAAAAAACCTTTTAGAATCAAAAAATGAATTGAATAAAGTAGAACAGAATATTAATATTCAGAAACAGGTTACATTTATATAAAACTATGTATCAATCTATCAGAAAGAGAAATCAAGAAAATAATCCACTTACAATTGTTATCAACAAAAAAACCCCTAGGAATAAATTTAACCAAGAAGGTAAAATGCCTGTACTTGGAAAATTTAAGACATAGAAAAAAATACTGAAGATATAAATAAGTGGAATCATATACCATGTCCATGGATAGGAAAAATTAACACCGTTAAAAAGTCAATTACCAAAAGCTATATATAGATTCAATGCAATCTCTATCAAAATAGCAACAAAGTTTATATGGAACCACAGAAGACCCTGAATAGACACAGCAATGCTGAGAAAGAACAAAGTTGAAGGCATCATTGCTACCTTGTATCAAATTATACAAGAATCCAGTAATCAATGCAGCATGGTACTGGCATAAAAATAAATATACAAATCAATGAAACAGAATAGGGGGCCCATAAACAAGCCCACACCTACCTGGGCAATTAATCTATGACAAAACAGGCAAGAATATATGATGGAGTAAAGACAGTCTACTTAGTATGTAGTGCTGGGAAAACTGTACAGATACA